AGAGATTCGCCAGTAGTCACAGTACAACCAAAAGTTCAATTTCAAGTAAATTTCATCACCATTTTACAATGAAATTCGAACTTAAATCCGCATGCATTTATTCTTTAGTGAACATGTACTCTCTGTTTGGAATACCTCTCTTCATATGGGTCGGCCTAGCTGCGTGCCCGATCGCTTTATGCATGTTCGTTGGATCTACTACAAATCGAATACCTTTCTTTCATCAGGTAAATGATGTATAGTTCTCCAGATATACATATCTACATATTCGTAGGCATAAATGTGATCAGTTGAGCGTATTTTACAAAATTGAAATTAAAAAATTTTTTCAGTATCTTTCAATTTTGAGCGTTGCCGGTTCGATATTCGTTGTACGCGTTTGTTGCGCTGAGGCCTTCAATGCGCTCGTTGTACTCAGCATCTTTACTGGCTTGAGTAGTTCTTTCGTTGGCGTCACGCTTCTGACATGGGCTAATAGCATTGGCGATTTAATTGCCAATCAATACTTGGCTCGTCAAGGCTATCAAAATATGGCGCTAGCTGCATGCTTCGGTGGACCTATATTTAGTGAGTTACATGGAATCGGGTGCTGGAGTGATACGAGCAGATTTGGAATTAAAGTATACATTTTCCAGATTCACTGCTTGCGGTTGGTTCTACTCTACTATACAAAACATTGACAGAGGATAACTTCCTACTAAAGGTAAAGTAATATTTACATATTTTTAAGAGTTTGCATAAATATTTTCTTCTAATTACTTGGACATTAATATTTTTGCTCTAATTTTATGTTTGCGTATAGTTTAATTTTTTATAAATTTAAAATATTTGAAATTAAGTCAGCTCCTTGTAAAAAAAAAAAATCATTTTGTTTTTATTTACCCTACTATTTTTAGGAATTCGGTTCCGGTATAATGGGCGAGAATGCTACTATCTTTCTCATTATCAGCATTTTTATCATATTGTTGGGCGCTCTAACTACGGATTTCTTCTTTCGTCCCAGTTTTGGGATATATACTATTATAATGTATTTTTTATTTTTCGTTTACAATATTCTAGGCGAATTCGATATTATACATCCTTATGGCACTGATCATAGAATGGATCAACGTATTGAATCAGAACTGTGATCGTAGTAAGAATGTATGTACTTATAAAATAAAATAAAATAAAATGTTAGATATACTTACACGCTTTTCAATTAGCTTATCGCAAACGTTAAAGACTGTCTTTATTGGATTCTTATCCATGCGTATAGTCTTGTCATAGTAGGTAACTTTACGTGGCACATATTGTTGGTCAAAATTGAGGTGCTGTAAAGATTGTGAAATTTGTAAAATTTAAATAAAAATAATCATAAGTTAAATACGCATACATATTTTAGTTTAATGTTAGTTTATGTGTGTATATTCATGTACATACATACATAGCGTCATATCTTACCGCTATTGTTGTTCGGAAGTGTGCCTCGCTATCCGGATCCGTGAGTACTCCCCCAATATTATAAGTTGACGGATTATCGGAATGTTGTATGTGTTTTTGTGCTATAGCACCTAAATGTATGCTACAAATAAGCAAACATGCCGTGCTGACGTCGATCAACGCCTTCATATTTGATTCAGGCTGTAGACGTGGTACAAGATTTTACAAGTGAATCATAAGAGCCAATTCTGTAAAAGAATAACGAATGAAATAATTTAAATACAAAATATTTATTCTATAAAAATATTTTATTTTAATTAATGTTTGCTTTTTTCAATTTAGCTTAATTTATTAAATATTTATTTGGATGTGCCTACATATATTTTCATAAATTTATTGTTTATTATTATAATTAAATTTAATTAAATTTAATTTGATTTAATTTAATTTGATTTAATTTTACTTTATTTAATTTAATTTAAATTAATTTAATTTAATTTGTTTTAATTTACTTTAATTTAATTTAATTTAATTTAACTTAATTTTATTTTATTTTATTTTATTTTATTTT